TTCTTTCTCAGGATTACTTTGGCTATTCGAGGTTTTTTGTATTTCCATACAAATTGTGAAATTATTTGTTCTAGTTCTGTGAAAAATACTGTTGGTAGTTTGATAGGGATTGCATTGAATCTATAGATTGCTTTGTATCCCACTGTTTTGATTCCTAACTAATTTCTTATGCCAAGCCTCACCTCAAGAGTAGAGAAGATAAATCATCTACAGCTTATTCCTAAAAGAAGAAAAACCCATATAGTTAGTTATACATGCACTATTCTTTAAAAATTTGTTCCCCCCATCACATTTTCTAGTAACATTTCCCTGTGATGATGCAAATTTAAGGAAACTGCATTTCAGCGTCAGGACCCTAAGTGTGCTTCCTACTGGGCTGATTACTTTGAGCTGATGTAGTGTTCCATTCACTAGGATTCCACACACTTCTCCTATATCAGTAGTACTAATCACACATATCGTTACCAGCCAATTACATAAGCACATATCTAAACTAGGTAACTTATTCACCAACATTATCTCTTACAAGTCTTAATTTTGTAATGAAGTTGATTATCCTCTTACCCAGTTGAGTATAGCTACATATTTTGATCTAGCAGGCTAAATGCAAGTTTATTGAATTATATAGTAGATAATTACTTACATATGTTTGTAACAACACAAAATGAGGGCAATTTGAGAGTAGTCTTTTCTTATTCTATTTAAAGACTGCATTAGAGAAGGTTAATGGCTTTAAAAAACAGACCCAAAGATATGTTTGGATTAAAAAAAAAAAGCAATAAAGGTATACTTCCTGCACACAAAACAGAATTGGGTGTGAGAATTGGTGCTTGGGCATGCGGTCATTCAGATGCCCAGGTAGGCGTCTCACATATTCAGTGTAAGAGCTCCATTCAAAGCCACTCTGAAAGCTTCATTTTAGGGAAAAAGGACATGGAGGACTAATGAAGATGTCTATGGGCTGACCCTGATGGGGAGGAGCTCCAATACACTACAGGCCACAGTGTAGTCACATGACCACAGCTAGCCACCAAGGAAATGAGAATTATCCTTTATTCCAGGAAGTGGAAGAGGGCATGGATTTTGGTGCACAGTTGGCAATTTTTGCCCTAAGGACTGAAAACATAACTTGCTCCATTTCTTGATTTAATGAATACTTCACTTGCCTTGGTTATTATTTAAATTTCTCTTAGACTTGCTTTGCTTTAATTTTCTTACACTATGTCAAATGTCCTATAAAACTTAGATTCAAGCTCTGACTCTTAGAAGACTTGGTGCATATCAGAAACCTGAGTAATGGGGAATATAAAAATGAAAAGGCATTTTTTCCCCAAAATTTTAAGTAAATGCATTATGCCCCTGTTGTGGTAATGATTTTTTTAAGCAGGCTAAAATATAGGTAAGTGGGTTAGAATAAAAGGTTAGCTTCAAACCCTGAAAAAGATATCACCTAGTCCAACCCTCTTATCTCACAGACGACTGTGCGGCTTGGAGGGGTGGGCGGCGCTGACTGCAGTGAGCACTCAGGCTCGCAGGCTTTTCCCAGCTTCAGGCTCTTTTTTCCCGACCAAGTCTCTTCTCATGATGTTATTTGTCAAATTTTTTATTTGTAGTCATATTGCTCACAAAACATAAGTCATTGAAAGATGTCCATCCATTTATAAAGAAGAAACAATACACAATAAATTGTAACTGACAAGAGGTAGTGTATTTAAATCTGTGAGAAAATAGACCCAAACACCTTTCTTGATTTTCCAAACTCATCTGAAGGACCCTAATAAATTAGCTACTTACTAAAGGTTCTTTTTTAAAAAATACATTATTTTTTCTTATTTCCTCAATAAAAGAATAATGGGTTCTAGATAAATCTTCTTCAACTCTAAAATTATCTAATCCATGGCATGCAGATTTTATAATTTTAGAGAAGGCAAATTTATGATCACCATGCTAGTTAATATCTAGGATTAAAAGTTCAGGAAAAACAAATTATGAAATCTGAAATATTGGAAGCTGTGTTATTTTTAAGGAAGAAAACCACATCATTACTTTTATAACCCCTATAGGCAAAATTTAACTGTTTTATTATGCTACATTAGCAAAAATATGAAGTTTTATTTCTTATTTAATTACTATTGCCTTAGCCTAATTTCATGCTATTTTTGTAAGGATGTATAAAATAGAAACTGTACAAGAAAAGTGGCACAAATCTAGATGGAGTCTAAAGCATACAAACTTCAGGGCATTTTATGGGAGTGTGGAAATTCGGGGTTATTTTCACCATTCTGATTTATGTCAGGCATTAGCTATGGTTGATCTTATACCAAGAGTGAATCAAAATCATTAGAGTGATGATGTATGTTCATTTATTAAATCCAAAGAAAACTGAAGCAGAATCTTCAGAGTTGGTTTTCATTATGAACATTATAAACACAGATGCAAGTTAATATTTGTGCATAGAGTAGTTTTTGCTTATCACATTAGTAAAGACTAAATAATGTGGCAAACTTGTTGGAAATGAACATGAAAAGACTTTTCTCCCTCCCTGTCCACCTTCTACCAAACACAAATAAAAAGGTCCATCTAATTTTGTGATGCCACAAAAAATAATGGTGTGAAATATAAGTAAAGAAGATAACCAGGCTTTGTTTGCTTTCATATTTACCTATCCCCTGTGTTAGAAGTCTATATTCAGTTTATTGTTAATGTAAAAAATCAGCAAAATGCATAGTGTCACCCTATGTATGCATCGGGGACATTAAGGCTAAGACCATCTTTTAATGTACTCCATACTGTTTTTCATATTGCTTTGATTTGTGAGGATTTTCTATGCAGTCCACAGTAGTGTAGGGATATTCACTTCTTTTGGATCCCTTTTTGAATATATCCTCTTTAAAAGTGGGCTTCGTGTGTTCAGACAGTTTTTAAAGCTACTGTTTCATATTCTCCAAAGAATCTGACATTGGTCCCCATGGTGACACAGCACCTATTGAAAATAATAAAGAGGAAGAGTCTATTTTTTTAACGTTTTTGTAATTTAAACTTTAAATCTAACTCTGCTCTTTTTCATAGGTGCTATATTGGTAGAATTGTTTTTAATAGGAAGTTTTGAAAAATGTTTGTGTGGTAATGTAACAAATACAGTCAAAACTGGAAGTTGCTATTTTAATTTGATTATCCTTTTGAGGACAACCTGGATTAAATATCATTATACAGAAGTACATGAAAAGTAAAACAAATGCATTTACTGAGAACCCAGTTAAATGAGAACCACGAATTTCACTTCAGCAATCAATTATTTTCAGTGACTTATGATCTCTGAATGGTTTCTGTGAAGGAAAATACCTAGAGTTGATTTTATTCAAGTTCCACAATTCTTTCCTTTTTAAAAACATGCATGCTGATATTTTTGTGTTTATGCAAATTTTTAACTGTCTAACTCTGTATATATTAAGGGGCATTGGCATCCTAAGTAGGACTATATTTAGAGAATGAGTAATTTTATTCTTATAGTTCTGAGTATGGCTTCTTTATACTGTGATGAATCTTGCTTTCTGCCTTTTATTTGCATACATAAAATCTTCATTTTTGCCTCATCATGTATCTTTTCTGCATATAATTAACATTACATTTTTTTGTGCAGAGCTGGGTATTTGCCTCAGAATATTCCCCTGGAGATTATCAGATACCTGTCTGAGGAAAAGGATTTTCTTCCTTGGCATGCTACCAGCAGAGCTCTTTATCCTCTAGATAAATTACTGGACCGCATGGAGAAATACAACGTCTTCAATGTAAAAAGATACATTTTCTTCTTTCTTCTTTTCAGAAGATAAACTGTTTTCTCATTATCTACTATGTTCAACTTGATCCCACGTTATTTTAGTTCCTTCTAATTTGTGTTATCATTTTTGTCCTGATTTTCTGTATGACACTAATGACAAATTCTGAAGAAAGAGGTGTAATGCAGGCTACTTTTTTGTTCTGGCCTAAAAGTGTCAGTTAAGCTTAAATGCCTCCGAATTTAAGAACAAATATACATAACAAATCCTTAAAGTTCAGACTTTTTTCCCTAGAGTTAAAGGGTTCTGTGCTCACAAAGGACTTAACCTGGGAGAGGGATGCAAAAATCTTCACAGAATATAGACAGTTTCAGCAAAGATTCTTAGTCATTATTTTTATCCAAAAGGGCATAGTAAATTCAATTCACTTCCTTAATTAGCAAGGTTAAGATCAACATTGAGGCAAAAGCCCATTCATAATTGGGTCCAAGGAGATATAGGAGAGCAAACAACAGATAATCCAAATAGACCTGAATTCCAAGATGTTACCTGACTAGAGTTCCTAAGCCTAAGGGCTGGAAAACCAGACCCACACAGTCGACGCCACCTAAGTAATGAAAGAATCATTTTGAATAGCATTAGGGTTGAGTACTGCTAATGAGCGTTTGATTCCAAAATTTCTTATCACCAGTGAAGTTTTGCATGTGAGAATGTATATCTGTAACTCCTATCACCATTGAGCATTATTTATTTTCCTTTTACTTATTTGAAGACTCTGCTCTGTGTCTTATAAAATTTTCCTAATTTATAACATACTGGCTCTTCTAATTAACCTATGCATTTGAAATGACTCGAGGCTAGATTGCTCCGACATGAAAGCTGTTGATTAGAGTCATCTAAACAGTGATGATGATAAACAGCTTATGATGTCCATAAGAGTTGCTTTTTTATTTTATTTTTTAAGAGTTGCTTTTTTAATATTATCCTAAGCCTGCATGAAAGCACCGTGGCTTTAGTAATGTTTTTAATGAGAATAATCTTGGCTTGACTGTTCGTTGTCGTTAGTTTTGTTTTAGTGTGCCTTTGCAGCAGACGTGCATACAAGTGTCAGTCATTTTTATCTGCTGGAGAAAGGCTTATTACCCTTCTTTTTTCTCCTTAACACAGAGACACTGTACTATTAAACTTATGTAAAACAAAATACATTCTTGTGTATATTTGTACTTTAGAATAGTATATCATGCCAGGCATTTCATTTCCAGTAAAAGTTAAGAATTGTTTTTACTGTAATTTCAGTGCTTTCCTTCCTTGACAAAATTCAAGGACCACATTAAAGTGAGAAGAACATATCTTACATTACTACTAATATTTAAGTATATCATTAGATGAATGAATTTTGATTTTGAAATATTAATAGTACATCAGTTTACTAAAGAGTGAATCTGTTCTGTGTCTGTCAGGTTCAACACGGCTAGGCTATTAGCTGGGCTTATCTAATAGTTTTGTATTAAATATGGTCTATTTACATAAAATGATAAAGATTAGGTACTCATTTTCATAAACTACATCTACATACATATGTACCTATGTATACATGAATTCATTATCAATATTCCTTACTTTCCTTTTTGCTACAAAAATTGTCATCTCCAATATTTAATAGTGAAAATTGCTTAATTGTTCAATAGGCAGTAAACAGTAGACTTCCACCATTGCAACTGTATTTTATATTTATTTTCTATGTTTGAAATACTAAGTTGAATGACATTATAATAAAGCTTTACCATGCCCATTATTTTATGGATATTCAAAGTAGGTTCATTTGGAAAATATTTTAAGTTACCATATAATTTCAGTTGTCAGAGTGGAGTGATTTGAAAGTAACATTATTTCTATTTCTCCTACTCTTCATTTAGGAATATATTTTAAAGCAAGTTGCAACAACGTACATCAAGCTTGGTTGGCCAAAAAACAATTTTAATGGATCTCTTGTCCAAGCGTCCTACCAGCATGAGTACGGTTTTATTTTCTTATTTGCTTTCCCCCCCAGAACTGTACAGTGACACACCACTAGAACCACTGTGACTGTAGCAGCGTGAGACGATCCTTCATTCTGCATCTTTTATTTCCCTTTCCTGGAAAGACTGCTGGTGGATAGCATGGTTTCCACCACCTGGTACTGAGAACAAAGGCTTTTCATTGCTGTGTTTTAATTGAAAATCTGCCTCTACTGGTAAAGTTGAGATTTGAACCTAGACCCCTCACTAGAGAACTGTTTCCAGAGAAGACTTTTTTATGCACAGCTCCCACCCTGCTTAATTATTTCTTACTCAGCAAAATGGAATTCCCGTGTCTGAAAATTATTTTGTGCTAATTATTTACTTGTGTACTGTAATGTAGTGTAACGAGTTACCCTTTCTCTCCAGATACTGACACTGCTGATTTTTCTTTCCCTTTTGATGATACCCAGAGAACTACGTAGAGAAGTTATAATGCTGGCATGTAGTTTTGGCAACAAACACTGTCACCAACAAGCATCAACACTTATTTCAGATTGGATTTCCAGCAACAGGAACAGGTAAGTTGAACCAAATCCTATTTTTCTGATATGATATGTACTACTTTCAGATTCTTAGTGGATGCATTACGTTTATCAGGTGGAGAAAAGCAAGACAAGATAAAAACACTGCAGAACTTTGTTTCAGGTTCACAGAATACCAAGCAGCGGCACAGAAGCCACAATGTGCATCTCTTTGGAATACTTTATCTAGTTTTAATCTACCTTTCTTAAGCGAGGCCCTTATTCTTCATATATAGGGTGTCACCTTATTTTGAATCTTGAGAGTTTTGCTGTCCCATGAAAACAAGATAATTAAATTTAGGTCAAACTCTGAAGTTCCTTAGAAAGGTTGTGGTATTTATTTATAAAACAACTGTGAGCATTTGATATAAATGAGGCAGCATAGCAAATGTTAATTGTAAAACCTAAAGACAAAAATGTTATGAAAAACCTTTAGTCTTTCAGTGACCTTTGATAGAAACCTTAAACTTGTGTCTTATCTTGGAATTTCACAGTACAGTATTTTCATATATTATGTGAGGTTAAAAATATTTAATAGAATTGTTTTTGACTTAAATATTATACTAAATGTCACTTAATGTTAATGAAAAAATATGAAGCGTAAACAAAATCAAAGATCAGTGATTTTCTTACTATAGTTTTTTAAAATATTTTAGGTGTCTTTGAATTTCCAAAGATCATTATGTTCCATTTCTTTTTATGCTCTGGGAAATTTTTAATTACACTTCTCCAGTCTTTGGCCACTTTGTTAAGGAGAGTCTGATCAGAAGGGTGAGGATTTAGGGAATAATTAGTTCAGATGATTCTATTTTACATGCTTCAGGGGGCTTGTCCCTGGTGTCAGTGGCTGAGACAGCCCCGTGGGCAACAGAGGAGACTTGTTGTAGAAGAACATTGAGAACCACAGAAAGTATAATTTGTTTATGGAACAAAATGGCATTTGTCTTCCTGAGAGTTGTTTAGGTTTAAACTTATGTCTGACTCCAGATAAAAATGTAGCTCTCCTGCTTTAAAAGTTTGTGAGGGAAATCTTTCACTGCATTACTTAGTAATTAATCATAATCTCTCACCTTCTCTAGAGTTTTCTTCTTTTCTTTTTAAGTTAATCCATGCTGGCCGTACACTGAGCTGAGAAGGAAAATATTTTATTACTATCATCTCTCAATGGAACCATCATATACTAGAAGACAGTGATTAAATTCTTCATCACTCTTCTCTAGAAAACTTATCCTTTTTGCTAAGTCCTCTAAAAACTTTTATATTGGTCTTAAAATGTTATTAAAAAAACTTTTCTGTTTTTTACTACCCCCTTCAATTCTATCACATGTAATTGGGCTATCAAAACTTAAACATTTATACAAAATCAGTACATCCACAATGTGACCAAGATATTTAATCATACATACATTCAAGGAAAAAAAGTGAAATATACTCTTTGACAATTGTGGTCTCAACTTTCCGCCCCTTTGTTTTTTTGTTTGATTCTTTGATTGTTTTATCTGGCAGTTTGACTTAAACGTGCTAAATTACTTCAGTTGTGTCCTGAATTACAGCCCACCAGGCTCCTCTGTCCAAGTTTCCCAGGCAAGAATACTGGAGTAAGTTGCCATTTCCTCCTCCAGAGGATTTTCCCGACTGAGCAATCAAAGGAACATCTGTTACTTCTGCTTTGGCAGGCAGGTTCTTTACCACTAGCGCCACCTGGAGAGCCCCTTATTTGGCTACAGATAGGTGCTTTTTCTCAGAACAGATAGCTTTTTTTGAACCCTTTCATGAATTTGCTCATACTTACGTACATTCCTACTATTTTATTAGAAATGAACTTATAACATATTACCATAATTTCTCTAAGGAGTATTCGAGCCTGATATCACTTTCTACATTTAAAAATATAGCTATTGGAAAAATTCTATCTTTACAATAATTCATTTATTTAATGAAATTTTCTTGAGCAATTTTCAGTAGTAGCTGGTAACCAAAAAACAAAGAGAAGAGGCAAAGCTCAAAATTAATAGGAGATACAGCTCTATAAACAATAGTGGTATTTTGAAGCAAGAACCAAGCATAAGACAGTGTGTGAACCTGCAGAAGGGAGAGACTGCTGCCTGGGAGACCCTGTGTTCTGCCTTATGAAGAGTAAGTAGGACTTTGTTAGATGACCGGGCCACGTGAACAGGGATGGGTGTGTATGAGAGTGTCAGAAGGGTGGTTTAGTCAGTTCAGTCGCTCAGTCGTGTCCAACTCTTTGCGATCCCGTGAATCACAGCACGCCAGGCCTCCCTGTCCATCACCAACTCCCTGAGTCCACTCAAACCTATGTCCATTGAGTCTGTGATGCCATCCAGCCATCTCATCCTCTGTCCTCCCCTTCTCCTCCTGTCCTCAATCTTTCCCAGCATCAGGATCTTTTCAAATGAGTCAGCTCTTCGCATCAGGTGGCCAAAGTATTGGAGTTTCAGCTTCAGCATCAGTCCTTCCAATGAAATTTAAGCCACTTTTTCACTCTCCTCTTTCAACTTTCATCAAGAGGCTTTTTTAGTTCCTCTTCACTTTCTGCCATAAGGGTGGTGTCATCTGCATATCCAAGGTTATTGATATTTCTCCTGGCAATCTTGATTCCAGCTTGTGCTTCCTCCAGCCCAACATTTCTCATGATGTACTCTGCATATAAGTTAAAAAGGCAGAGTGACAATATACAGCCTTTTCCTATTTGGAACCAGTCTGTTGTTCCATGTCTGGTTCTAACTGTCACTTTCTGACCTGCATACAGGTTTCTCAAGAGGCAGGTCAGGTGGCCTGGCATTCCCATCTCTTTCAGAATTTTCCACAGTTTTTTGTGATCCACACAGTCAAAGGCTTTGACATAGTAAGTAAAGCAGAAATAGATGTTTTTTCTGGAACTCTCTTGCTTTTTTGATGATCCAGCGGATGTTGGCAATTTGATCTCTGGTTCCTCTGCCTTTTCTAAAACCAGCTTGAACATCTGGAAGTTCACGGTTCACGTATTGCTGAAGCCTGGCTTGGAGAATTTTAAGCATTACTTTACGAGCGTGTGAGATGAATGGAATTGTGCGGTAGTTTGAGCATTCTTTGGCATTGCCTTTCTTTGGGGTTGGAATGAAAATTGAGCTTTTCCAGTCCTGTGGCCACTGCTGAGGGTGGTAGGGGTTCCAAGCAGAAGGAAGGCATGTAGATTGATGTTTAGTTTTAAAGAGTACAGAAAATTTTGACTTGTAAGTTTGAACCCTCTGTCACTTCCATAAACCCCTTATAAATGAAAGTGTCAGCTCATTTCAGTTCTTATAACTATTCCACTTATTTGTGGTACAATAGTTAAATAGCCTAAGTCTTTAAGTTTCTTTTGTTATGTCCTTCATCATTATTACATGGTCCTGTTTTGCTTCTTTTTGTGACTGGGCAGGTAAACCTGCTAAATGAAACTAACTCTGTGTTTACTAAGAAATACTCAACCAAGCAGCCAAATGCCATACCCCAGCGTGACACAGGTGACGTCCTGCAGGAAGTGTACGTGATGCTCATGGAGCTTGCTGTGTGTGAGGTCAGAGGTTTTATCTGTAGTTTTGAAGTGCCAGCTTAACAATAAGACAAGAATGCACTCCTGTACTTGGGGCCGAGCTTAACTTTCTTAAATTGAGTCAGTTAAGGGGAGGGTTAGGTTTCTTTTTAAATGTGCCTCAAGTAACAGACCAGTCAGTTTTGTTTGCTTGTTTTTGTTTAATTGGAACCTTAAAAATCATCTTAAAAGACTCTCCAAAGGTAATGTTAAAGTGAAAGTGTTAGTTGCTCAGTCATGTCTGACTCTTTGCCACCCCATGGACTATAGCCTGCCAGGCTCCTCTGTCCATGGGATTTCCCAGGCAAGAATACTGGAGTGGGTTGTCATTCCCTTCTCCAGGGGATCTTTCTGACCCAGGGATTGAACCCAGGTCTCCTGCATTGCAGGCAGATTCTTTACTGTCTGATCCACAAGGTAACATTGTAACATACTAAAAAATATTGGTCAGTGAGATGCTATATATATTTGTGCTAATAAATGTAAATGACAAGGAGTCGTGGAAGAAGCAGCAGTTGCAAAGATCTGGGCTGCTCGTTACTATACAGCCTGGTCATGATACACTGGGGAGAGAGGTCACATCAGTGGCACAGGAATATAGAATGGAAAGTTGGTGCAAAGCTGGCTAATGGATCCAAAAAGTGCAATGAAAAGCTAAAGGTGGTAGCAGAAGTGGGAAAAATTCAAGAATTACAGTGGATGATACATTGAATGAGTCAACATTCTGATCTCTTAAAATATTCAAATGCTGCTACAGTGTGCTGAATTGTAATGGTGATGTCATGCATACAGACAGATTGAGCTGTGTTCAGGTCTTGTTAGGCTGTGGTTTGGGGACTAAGTTCAGCAGAATGCCACATTTCAGAAAAGAGACAAATCACCAAGCATTCGGGAGAGAACAATACAAATGATAAAAAAGATTGTGAGAACACCAGCTACAAGAGGAGGTCACGAGAACTGAGAATTTCACTCTAAAAAAAAGACACACAAAAGATGATAGCTTTTTTGTGTGGATAAAAAGCATAATAAAAAGGACAGAAATTGGTTTCTTTCACTGCTTGGTGGAAATAAATAAGAAATGATTGCCATGAACTTCACTGAGTAAAGTAGAAGGGATATAATTTTTACTGTAAATGAGTTATTATCTGAAAACCTCTGTATTAAAACACTTTTGAGATCATACAGTTAACTACACAGGGATCTCAATATATCAATGTGGGATTTTCTTTGAATAAACATGTAACCTGAAATTAAATATGTCCATGATAACACAGCCTCTTAATTTTATGTTAATGTTTTTCTCAATTAATAATAAAAGATACATGTTTTTCTTTTTTAAAAAAATTTTTGGAGTATAATTGATTTACAGTGTTGTGTTAGCTTCAGATGTACAGCAAAGTGAATCAGTTGACTTCAGTCGCTC